ATTGTAGAATAATTACTGAAGAAAAGTCAATAAAATTAAGGTTGCTTGTGAAAATGAATCATGACCAAGTATTTGGTCTATTGCACAAGCTTGTTCATGACCAAAAACAAGAATATATCTGGTTATGAGAGCGCATCGCTTATTAAAGCTATATAAGTTGCTATATCTTCAACAGTTCTACGAAGAAGAGTTATATAGACCGAACACTTGAACCTGGGTCATTTTTACACACATCATTAATTTCATCGCGTTTTCTTTAGTAATTATTCTATGATCTTCTAGAAACCCATCAATTTTCAACAATACTACGTGGTTTTATAAAATCGTTGAAATGCGGCTGTAATAGAGGATTCAGTTGTTTCAATTCTGACTTTTGTAGACAGAAACATATATTCTGAAATATATTAAATAAAACTTTAATTAATATGAGATCAAACTATAAAACAACTCTTTACATCCCTCGAGCTGTTGCTGAGAAGCTATTCACGTTTTGTTTTGTTCCGATTTTTGGAACATCCTCTATATATTCGTTTCATCAAATTTCTTTGATAATTAGCCACTAATTGAGTCGAAGTTATTCTCTATACTTTACATTCTTCTTAGAATTAGAAATTTCTCTAATGCTTTTCATTGTGTAACTTTCATTATAGCCTATGTGGATTCGACGGGTTACAGCAGTTTTCGCCTCAGACCTTCAACCCAGTCCAAAATTTCGGTTACTTTTCAGTTCAGACCGAAAGTCCTGAAGGTATCTGACTCATGCTTAGATTGACCTTACTGACCCCGATAAAAACCTTATATCTATAATTAGCTCCTATGTACATTCTCCGTAGGACTGAGCAAGGACGACAATGTATGGATATGGGTGAGGGTCAAAAAGAGACATACATTCACGCCCATGCTTTCACATCCACACTATACTGTTCTGCTGAACAATGTCACCCTGCTCAGCATTACGGAATGTAGGAACTAATTAAAGAATTAAGGTCTTTTATAGGGGATCAATGAGGTCAATCTAACCGTGGGTTGAAATGTCGATTCGATTATTCATCTTCGCAACAAGTTTTCAGACAAATATGGCCTTTACAAAAATGTATACAAATGCATTTATAAAGATGGCCACTTAAAATTATAAAACTTTAGCTGGTTTTTCATAAAAACGAAACATATACAATTAAGCAGAACTATTGATTTAATATTAAAAAGAAAGAAGTTAATCGCAGTCCAATGCAAATGCAGAAATAATTTGAAATATTCAATATCGTCGACAGAATAGATATCATCAAATAAAGAATAGTCATCGTTGTACCTATTAATATATTGAATGCTGAAATAGCATAATTCATATGCATAAAATTGCTGGTATATGGATATGGCTATAGTATGACTCGGCAAGAACCAAATGTATATATTTAAAATGCGCTCTTTTTTGGGTTGTTTATCTTTTACATGAACGCCTTTTACAATTTCTACAGCTTTTTGTGCTACTATTGATGCTGATGCAGGATTAACACCACTAACCAATCGACCATCTACTACAGTAAATTCAATCATTTGATTAATATTTGACGGCTCCTATAAATTAAATAAAAGAATACATATGCCTATGAGTTTTCTGATAAAATAACCTGCCAATGAACTCCTACATCTCGCAATAAATCTTCCATAAGTGGTAAATTATATTCTTTTAATCTATATGCAGTCATCATTAATTTTTCATCACTTGTAGAAAAAGCCATAACTTTTTTTCATTTGATTAATAACTCATTATTTACTTTTAAATTTGCAAAGACAGCCGGACCATGACATACAGCTGCAATAACATCACTATTATGATAAATAGATGAACCTATACGTTGTAATCTTGTAGCTTTTGGAAAATCAAAGGCAGCTCCATGACCATCTTAATAATATATAATAGCATATTTATTAGGATCGATATCGTCAGGTTCTTTTTAGTTGTGACTCTAATAATTCATGTAATGGATGAGTTTTATCATTGAGTGCTCTTCGATTTTTTCCATCAATTTGTGCATAGACAGAAGATGATTCATCCATACCAGTTGTATCTGTCTGTTTGACTAACAACATCTACTTCATATCCATGGTTTTTAAATGTGTCATAAGGATGCAATACTTCTGTCCTACGATCAAACAAAGGATATTCTACATATTATGAAAATCAAAATGCACGCACCAAAAATAACCAGTCTTACATCATAATCGTCAAAATTTCATATTCGCACTAGTTACTGCTATTAAAAAACGCGATTGAATGCTTCAGCTATAATGAATTAATATATTATATAAAGACAAAAATTTGAGTGATATTCTTTAACTTTAATATTCTTATCTAAAATAATGCTATTTATCGTTGGTATAGACAGCTCAACAATCACTACTTATAAGATAGATGATGCAGTCATACAAAGATATTATGATGTGTGCACATATAAATTTTCAATCAATCGTCTATGTACGATTTACCTTTAGACGACGTTTTTGTCAGCTTTTCATTTTTCTATCGAATTCGACAATAAATATGGAAGGAAAGAAGAATAATCTTGTGATATAGAACACTATCTGGAAGCAGTTTCGTAAGCTCATTATTTCTTCTGAAACTACTTTTATAATATTTTTTGTCAGAATATATAAAAACACAATAATAAAGGAGATCAAGTTCGATATTTTCATTTTTACAATGTAATCGCCTGAGAAATGTTTCTCTATTTTACATACGATGAAGATTAATGGGCAGCATCTAAATATGAACATAATAGATAGATAAATAGGGATTCGAAGTAGATATATCTTATATTTGAAAAAGTTCAACTTTATGTTGTCAACGAGACAATATAGATGGATGGAATTGCTGACATTTGTCGGTAAAATATTTGCACCAACATTAATATAGATAAAACGAGTTCTCTCAGAAACTTTGCCTGAACAAACGTTGAAACGAAAGAATGATTTATTTTCAGATTCTGAAAAAAATAGAAAAAAAGCATTTTATATTCTATTGAAAATAATTTTTACCAATTAATAGAGGTCTTGTCCCGCTATAAAGAAGTTCTTCTGTGTAGAAGCCAATCTGAGTATAAGCTGAACTAATCAAAAAATGGCAGCTGCATTAAGCTGAAATATTGAATAGAGCTGGCCTCACTGTCAATAAATACAAAGAAATGCCGTACAGAGATGGATTGGAGCCGTTCATTATCATTGAGTAAACATTAAAAGTAACAGTTACCTTCAATTGGTAGTGGCTCATGATTGAACCTGAAAGTATTCTTAAAAGCTACCGTCGGATAAGGAGGCACTATGTCTAAGAAAACTTGTTGATTTCGTATAGAGCACTTAAAGCAAGAAGTAATTTTATTTTAACTAGCTCGTAAACTGAAATGTTAAAATTTAAGAATCATGTGAATTAACTGAAAAAGTCTTTTTTCTTCTTGTTTTCCTTGAAGCTTTCGAGTGCACATGTGTGTTAGTCCTAATGAAAGAAAAAGTCTATGTCAAGAAGATTTGAAATCTTCATATCTGCTTTATTCTTTTAAGAGATTATTTATTTTTTTAATTATATTCCAAAAACAATCATAGCGCTTCAAACAAAATTCTTTCCAAAGTCTAAGAAGTTCTTTAAATTATTTTCAAAAACACTCACACTAAATTCTATCCTCCTACTGATAATCAATTGACTTGAACCAATATCACTAAAGAATTCGTTAGGAAATCGAGTATTGACAAGAGTATTAACATGGAAAAAGCGTTTGAAAGCAAGATGTTTGTCGGTCA